TTTCTTTCTCCTTCTGCTGAGGTTCAGGGTTATGAAAGATCTTGGCCTTCCTTATTTCTAAAATGGCAATTCCTTCTTCAGTGCCTGCCATTTCTCTCAGGAAAGTGACATCAGAATTAAACAGAAAGACCCTTTCTCTAAGGGCTAGGCTGTAAATGAGAGAAGTGAGGTCAAAAAACAAAACCATAAACTATTCTCAGGGAAACAGATCAATCCTCTGCTAGGCACAAACGCTCAGCTGAACGTACAGGAGCTTCATTCAGGGGTAAAGCTGGAAATACAGCAGACCTGAAAAAAGCATTCACAGGAACAAAAGGACTAATATTAAACTGAAATTCATCTGTGCTCTGGAACATCCATTCTTTAAGCCCCTAACAACTCTTGCTTTCATCAAAGCCCATCCATCCTGCATCATTGTGCATTTCCTTCTTAATGGCTCATCCTGAACTCATCTTTCCTTCAGTTCCCTTGACCCCTTGCTGCCAGCTTTCTGTCTCACCAGGGACATGCCTAGCTGATGTGTTGGAGGCAGGACTGGCAGTAAATGCTAGTGGGAGAGAAAATTTTGGTCTAAACTGCTTGCCTCCTGTTTTCTTGCCAGTTCTACCCAAGAAACAATGAGGAATCTGCTGTTTTTTCTGAGAGTTTCAGTTGAGGACTCTTAGAACACTTGTTATATTTAAATGAAAGGGAGGGAAAAGAAACAAAGAAGGTTACGAAGGTATGTTATCTTCATAACAGAGAGGTTTAGCCAAAGTTCAGATCCCTGGAAGAGGAAATCTAGCTGTATGATAGATAGAGAGAAGTTCCTATGATGTTGAAGATGTACATGCAGGAAGAAAGGCAGAAAAAAACGGTGCTTACAGGCAATATAGATCAAGGGAACTTAAAAGCATCTGTAATTACTAGAATCTGATACAGTGCTCCTGAGGGTCTTTACCAGGATTAATTTCTTTTATTACCCAGAGATGTCAGGTCTTCCCCTGTGTGCATTCATTTTGGTCTTTGAGAGACTCAGGATTTCCTGAGTCATGTTGTGACCAACGTGAGATTCATGTCAAAGCCCCATGGCAAGTCCCTGAAGGAAGAAAGAGGAGTGAGTCAGACATGATGAACAACTCTTTACACCTCTGAAGCAGCTCTGTATTCCAGAGAGCAAGGCAGCCCCAATGTGTTCTCAAGGTCTTATCACAGAAGTGAATTCACAGGCGACGTTGCAGCTTGCACAATGCCTGCTAAATACAGAGAAGCGCAACAGAATTTACGGGAGTGGTGGCTGTGCAGCTGCGTGTTGCTTCTTGAAGCCTGCAACAAAAAGGCAGACTGAAGGAGCTGGGGAAAGTTCTAGACCAGACTTAAACAATATATGGCTTGCAGGACACGCTTGGCTGATGAAGCAATTTGTTTGGCCTGCCAGATGGTCAGGAGACACCATGATGTTTGGATCATTGGGTGCCTGAGAGAGGTTCTCATGCCTTCCACCAGCTTGCCAGCTAGCGCAGGCGTGGTGTCCCCCCAGCCAGCACATACGCACCTCTCAGCTGCGCAGCTGCCAAAAAAAATGGGGTGTCACTGTCAATGGAGAGGCAGAGGAGAGGGAAGGCAGATGGGAAGACAAAGAGGATGGAAGACCAGAGGCAGGCAGTGATAGAGGCAGTTCCGGTAAGGTATGACGAAAGGTGCAGTTTGAATTTGCTAAGCCTACCCACCTATCTGCTGCAGTGAGGCGTTCTAGGCCAAAATCCTATTGTATGAGGAAAACAGGGCTGAGTCACCAAATTCATTCCTCTGCTGTTTCATGCATCGCATCATGTAATGCCTGACAAAGTCTGATTTGTTTAGTTTCATCTCTGGTGTTCCCACAGAAAAGCTCTTCCAGGCTCTCCCTTTCTAATAGGTAGAGTCATAGTTTTCTGCTGTTTATTTATAGCTAATTTGCCCTTATACTTAAATCTTCCCTTATCTCTCAAAGGTCTTCACCCTGCCTGTTGATGCATCGACAGACAACAGTCATATCCACTCTGTCTTCACGTTGCAGGCCGTACAGTCTGAGCCAACAGACAGTTCAGCCCTTCTAGGAAAGCTGAGTTGCACGCACTGTGTAATAGGAGTCTCTCAAATGATATCTGAAAAAAACAGGTCTTTCAACTCTGTGGACTTTCTGGTATCTTTCATTCAGAGTATTTAACCAGTGTCAATCCTTCCTGGCTTCTTTTGTAGCAAACTGTATTCTTTGCAGCTCTCTTTGCTGGAAGGGTAAGAGATTTCAAGCCCACAGATCAGTGAGACTTCCATATGCTTGGAGTTGGGCATGTGCATAACTGTTTTTCTGGATCAAGATTAGAGTTCTCACCACTTGACAAGATTCAGCTTGTAGTTTGTGAAGTGCTGCCAGTTTCTCTGGAATTAAAGATTTATACAAAATATCAATTAAAAAAAAAAGGCAATTCCCTGTTCCAGGTGTGTGTGCATGTTTGTACTGCATTAATTAAAAGCTGGTTGGGAAACAAGAATGACGCTCTGCAACAATATCACTTGTATCACAGTAATCTCTTTATGCCATGTGAGAGCTGATCCTTGTTCCCAAAGAGCTGTCAACAGTCTATAGACAAAACCAAGATGGAAAGAGACAAATAAAGGTGCAGAGATGATTTTCCAGTGTCAGGAAGTGATAGAAATAGAAGCAGCATCTCTCAATCCCTGAATGTAGCAAATACTCACTTTACTCTGCTTTCACGCTCCGTGGTGCTTTTTCTGGGGGTAAAATGTTGTACAAACAACTACAGAGGAACTTAAATGCAACACTGACAATTTTTCTTGGCCTCTGTATTGCTTCTTTTCAGCCTGTAAAGATCGACACCAGGTTTTGTTTGCATTGATCCGTCAGAAATGTCGGGACAGGAATGCCTTTTTTACGTTGGCTGACCTCTGGGAGTACTGGAGGACTGACGGGACTCCGAGATGACAAGTGCAAACCCAAGCTGCAGTCTTCCTCAGCAAAATACAAGTCCGGTGAGGAAGGAAGACCGCGTGCCCTTCCGCAGGGCTGAGCAGTAGAAGAGGAGGAGAAACACGGGTAAGCAGTCACTGCGGTTCAGCACCGGGCTGCCGGGAGCTAGGGGGGGCCGGGGGGCTCCGAGCCGGGGGAGCAGAAGGCAGTGCC